AGTTACCTGATGGTTTCCTCGGTCGTGGGATTCTACAGCTCTCCACTCTTCTGGGGACTGCGGCCCAGATGGCATGACACAGCCATGACACAGGTAGCTGGCCTGGGGGGCGTGCCTGAGCACTAGGTGCTGGCAGCTCTGCTACCCTGACCTGACCTTTCCTTAATCCCACCCAGATAATTGGGAACTGTGTCTGTCTCCTGGTCCTAAGCTCAGCACTTCCTGTCTTCTCTCGAACCCTGGGTAAGTAGCAAAAGGAGGTAAGAGAATTGGCTTTTTTTGAGTACCTACTGGTAAGCAGACACATTATATTCATGCTCTCTCTAATTCCCACAACAAACCTATGAGGAGGGATTATCTCCATTTTACAGATGGAGAAACAGAGGCTCTATAAAATGCTATGCTGAGCTTCAGAGTAGTGTTGCTTCAAAGCTCATATTTTTTCCATTTGCTACATCCATCCCACAGCCTCCCCTACTTACTTCCATTTTTTTTTTTTTGGTGGAGAAGCACCACTTTCCCCCAAATCTTCTTTTGCGGTGGATCATCTGATAAACAGTTCTTTCTTTTTCTGTGGCATGAGGAATCAACCCTCGCCCCCTGCAGTGGAAGCACGGAGTCTTAACTGCTGGACCGCCAGGGAAGTCCCAACATTCTCATTTAAAAGACGAAAAACAGGAACTTTACTGGCGGTCCAGCGGTTAAGACTCTGTACTTCCACTCCAGGGTGCGCGGGTTCCATCCCTGGTGGGGAAATAAGATCCTGGCTTGCCGCGCTGCGTGGCCAAACTAAGATAAAAAAAAAAAAAAAAAAAGAAAAAAAAAAAAAGAGAAACAGAAAAGCTAACTGATTTACCCAGAGTTATACAGCTTGTTTGAAGCAAGGCCAAGTCAGGCTAGAACCTCTGTCTCCTGAACCCCAGTCCAGTGTCCGGTGCTTTTTCTACACGCTGGGCATCAAATAACATGCTCAATTCTTCTCCCATCTTTAGCTATGATCTAGCATTACCTGGTAAAAATGTTCAAAAGTGTAACTGGTTCACCCAAGGTAGTAGGGGAGTTGCATAGGTCCCCCACCTCCCCACCATCATCATCCATATACTGTACATAATTTAGAATTTAAATCAGTTCTATTTTATTCTAAAGTTCATATTCTCTCTACTCTACCATTTGTACTTATGCCATGGCGATTTAGGAAACTTGGCCTGTGGGTCCACCAGTTAGTTCCTTTAGGTTGGATGCTGGTAGGAGTATTTTTTATGAGTGTGTGGGGGGGCAGGGCTCCAGAATTTTTTTTTTTTTTTTTTTTTTTTGGCGCTACGCGGCCCTCCCACTGTTGTGGCCTCTCCCGCCGCGGAGCAACAGGCTCCGGACGCACAGGCTCAGCAGCCATGGCTCACGGGCGCAGCCGCTCCGTGGCATGTGGGACCCTCCTGGACCAGGGCACGAACCCGCGTCCCCTGCATCGGCAGGCGGACTCTCAACCACTGCGCCACCAGGGAAGCCCTCCAGAATTTTAATTTATGATGATTATATTATTATTGTTAGGGGCTCGGTAAGTGTTGGAGTAGTGCCTGACACATATAGTGCTTTATGTGTGTTGTCTCATTTAATTCTCACAGTCCCATTATTTTCTCTACTTTATAGTTGAAGAAACTGAGGCACAGATATTTCAGGAATTTGCCCCAGATTACACAGTTAGATAGGGTGGAGTTCGGATATGAACCAAAGCAGCCATGACCAGAGTCAGAGCTCTTAGCCTCCACACTGCTCTGTCTACTAAAAAAAATATTTGGTGACATTTGGCTTGTAGGCTCCTGGCCCAGGAACAAGTAGCAGGCCCAGGATGCTCCTCAGGACTCCTGGAGCCAGAGGGCACCCCCCATAGGAGGAGAAGATGCCAAACTCTGGAAGGGAAGTTAAAGCAAGCCTAGCTGCTGACACTTTCTTCAATAGCCCTGAACTGTCCCTGAGACAGAGTTTGGGAGATAGGAATAACTAATGAATAGAAGCCAACCTATGAGTTGCAGTGTTGAGATGTGGCCACCAGGAGGCAGCAGAAAGCTGGGCTCTGAACCAGGGAAGGGTTGGGGAGCCTACCTCCCATCCTGGCCTTTGTACTTCAGGGCTCACTCGTTTGGACCTTCTGGGTGACTTCGGACGCTTCAACTGGCTGGGCAATTTCTACATCGTGTTCCTCTACAACGCAGCCTTCGCGGGCCTCACCACTCTCTGTTTGGTGAAAACCTTCACCGCAGCTGTGCGGGCAGAGCTGATCCGGGCCTTCGGTGAGAGGGAGTGGGGGTGAGGCTGGTGGGGTTGTGGGATGGAGCCCTCTGGAACAGTGGTCATCCCAAGCAGGGGAGATGGCATGCTGTCTGCTTTGTTTGCAGCGTACCTCATCCACCCATTCTGTGGCTTGGTTGTCTTATCCCTGAGGACTGAACCTATATCCCGCTTTTGACTGCCCACCCTGCCTCTTCCACAGGTCTGGACAGACTGCCGTTGCCGGTCTCCGGTTTCCCCCGGGCATCTAGGAAGACCCAGCACCAGTGACCTCCAGCTGGGGGTGGGAGGGAGAAAACTGGACACTGCCATCTGCTGCCCAGGCCTGGAGGGGTGCCCAGGGGTGGGTGGACCTCAGGACCTGGAATCTGAGAGAGTGGGTGGCAGAGGGGAGCTGAGCTGTCTGCACTGTTGCATCATCTGAGCCAGAGTTTGGGACCAGGCCCCCCTGCTTTTCCAGATTTAACTGGGCCCCAGCGTGAGGTGGGGCTGGGTGGCTGGGTCTGGCTCCTGGTCCCAAACTCATTTACACATCAATCTGCCTCACTGCTGTTCTGGGTCATGCCCATAGCCATGTTTACATGATTTGATGTGCAATAGGGTGGGGTGGGGTCAGGGGAGGGACTGAGCTGGGGGCAGACTTGGAAGGCAGATTGTCTCCCTTGCCTCTGGCCCAGCAGAGCCTAAGCCCTGTGCTATCCTGGAGGAGCTATGGACCACTGGAGAGACGGGGTCATAGGGAGGAGAGGCCACAACCATCAGCAATAAAGTTGATCCCAGGGTTTGCTTTGGTTTTTTTAAAGGGCCTTTCTCTGTGTCTATTTGAACAGCTTTGCTCCCTCCAGTCCTGAGTCTACAGAGAGAAACAGAGGGGCCCTTCCCACCATCCTTTCCCTTCCCCTCCATCCGCATCCTCAGTGACCTTTGGGGACTTGGGTCTGGTATTAGACCATACAATTAGGCAGTGGAAAGCTCCTCCTCCCTTAGCCTTCCTTAAAGCTGGCTGGTCACCTGACTTTTCCCTATGCCCAGGCCTTATTTCTGTGCCTTGGTTATTGGGGGTAGGTGGGCATCAGTGTAGGAATGGGATAACATCCCCCTATATAATATCCCCTTTCCCCCTACACCAGCCCTTTCCTCCTTGACCTGCCTGTTGGATGTAGAGTAAAAGAAGTGGCTGCCTGACAAGGGTTTATGATTCTCAGAGAAGAACCTAACTCCATCTTTCCGGAGGCTATCAGTGCCTTGAATACTCTGCAAGCCCCTGCTCTGCTGGGGGTAGAGGCAAAGTTTCTGCTCATGGTTATGTAGATTGTACATTGCACAACTGCTAGAGGCACCATTCACCTCACAGTCACTGTATGTATAGTTACTATGACTTTTCTTGCAAATGGCCATCAGGTGGCTTGAGGAAGGGCTGCTTTTTTCTAATGTACACAGTTACTGTGAATGTTAGCCATGGAGCTGAGTGAGGAGTGAGTATGGAATACCAAAAAAAAAAAAAAAAAAAAGAGTGTAGTGCCACAAATACTTGCTGAGCACCCTACTATATGCCAGGTGCTCAGCAAAGATTGTGTTTAAGTTTGTGCTTAAGAACTGCTCTGTGTAGTAACGGTGACATAATTTTAATACCATACCACAGTGGATGGCAGTTAATTACTGGTTCTCAAGGAAACGTAGAGGTCCAGTGTCAGAACATCAGGGAAGCCTTCCTAGAGAAAGATTTTTTTTTTTTTTTGTAGTACGCGGGCCTCTCACTGTTGTGGCCTCTCCCGTTGCGGAGCACATGCTCCGGACACGCAGGTTCAGCGGCCATGGCTCAGGGGCCCAGCCGCTCCGCGGCATGTGGGATCTTCCCGGACCGGGGCACGAACCCGCGTCCCCTGCATCGGCAGGCGGACTCCCAACCACTGTGCCACCAGGGAAGCACAAGAGAAAGATTTCTAAATGATAGTAGATTAATGGGTGAGGTGTTGCAGGCTCAAAGCCTCTGAGATGAGACCCAAATGGCTCCAGCGGGGGCAGAGAAGGAGAAAGATAAAGAGGTGACTAGATGGAGGGTAAAGGGAAGAGATCGTTAGCCTGTTAGAGACTATGACTTTAAGTACCCACTGCCCTCCAGCAGTTTCCTATCCACAGGTTGGGTGTTTGGCAAGGATAAGAGAGGGGACAAAAGTTTGAAGTCCTAAACCAGACTATAGGTATGCAGCTCTGTTCCTGATTCTTGGGAAGCTCCCAGCAGAAGACTGCAAAGTTACCAGGGAAAATGGTCCCCTGGTATCCAGCCCTTCCAGTCTTGGTTACTGCTAAGGAGGAGAGATGGAAGTGGGGGAGGTTGGGGGAGGACCACAGAAGGGAGGCTCTGGTTGTGTGCCCAAAGGGCTTGTGTGGCCTTGGGCAGAAATTGGATCCCATAGCTCCTAGATGATAGCGGGGGACATGGCCTGCCAGGTAGGCTTGGGGAGAGCAAAGATCCAATTCGAGTATCAGAGGAGGGTGGTTTGGTGCCACACATAGGCTTAGAGGTAGAGGGATGCTTATCCAGGCAGCCAAGGACTGTACAGCTGTTAGAATTTCCTAGGCAGGTGCCTGCCTGGTTTCCAGGGTGGAAACGAAGTGGACCGGCGGTGGCCGACTAGAGCCCCCGCCCCGGTGGTAGGGGGCGGGACGGTCCTGGGAGAAGGGCGGGGGGCGGGGCCAGGGGCCACTTAAGGCGGAGCCCCGGCGTTCTGGCAGAGCCGGAGCCTGACGGCAGAGCCCGGCAGGATTGGCACTTACCCACGACCCCCCTTCCCTGCTATGATGGCCGGTCAGTAGCATGTTCCAGACCCCCCGGGGGTATGTAGGCAGAGCTAGCGGCAGCCAGGTGTGCTGAGCCACAAGAGCTCTAGGGCACTCTGGGGGCAGCTCTGCCTGCTGCGCTCTCTGGTGCAGGGGGAGATGCCCAACTGACGAGCGAGCTGGTGAGGACAAGAACGTTCCCTTTTGGCCCGAGTCCGCTGCATCCATGGCGCTGCCGGCCAGTCTGGTGCCCCTGTGCTGCTTGGCACTTCTGGCGCTGCCGGCCCAGAGCTGCGGGCCGGGCCGGGGGCCGGTTGGCCGGCGCCGCTACGTGCGCAAGCAGCTCGTGCCGCTGCTCTACAAGCAATTTGTGCCCAGCGTGCCCGAGCGGACCCTGGGCGCCAGTGGGCCGGCCGAGGGGAGGGTGACAAGAGGCTCTGAGCGCTTCCGGGACCTGGTGCCTAACTACAACCCCGACATCATCTTCAAGGATGAGGAGAACAGTGGTGCAGACCGCTTGATGACCGAGGTAAGGAGGGCCTCTCCCCACCTGCTCGAGGGCACCGCCAATTTCTCTGCTCTCCTGTGGCAGCTGGCGGAGGGGACGGGGGATGGTGTGAGCTGTACTTCATCTATAGAGACCTTGATCTCAAGGACCTACCTACACTCCTCACCCCTCACCCGCCCCCCCCCCAAAACACACACACACACACACACACACACACACACACACACCTCTGCTGGCTGTACTGAGTAATCAGGAGGGATCCAGGGAGAGGCTGCATGGGGAGGGGGAGAAGGGACTAGTGAGAGTGAAGCTGGGAGAGACAGGGAGGGCGGGGAAAGGAGGATGGCGGCAGGCGAGACGGGAAATGGCTGAGGCGTGGACCGGGGGTCAGCTACCGAGCCAGGCAGGAAGGGCTGGGGTGAGCTGGGGGCCAGGAGCTGGCTAGGCAGCAGACAGAAAGCTCTACCCTTAGCCTGGCTCCTGACCTGATTGTGTTAAAGCTCTGTGGGCCAAAGAGACTGAAGGGGCTGGGAAAGGGGTGACCAAGGGTCAGGTCATCAGGCCATCTACCTGAGGAGGGGCTGGGCAAGAATTGTCTTTGGCGTGGGGGAGGCATCCCAGAACCAAGGTAAAGCTATTCTAGAGTCTAAACGACTGTCCCGGAGTGAAAAGTGATCTTTGATGGGAAGAACAGATGGGCCCACCTGAGAATCAAAGGGTCCCTGTGTCCCTCAAACTCAGTGTAGCTCAGGGACTTTCCTTGGAATTAAAGGGTTAAAATGAATTCAACTACCACGTATTAAGCATCTGCTGCAGACCAGAACCTAACCAACCTATGGTGAGGTGTGAAGGACCACCTCTGCTCTGTGATCTCAAATGTCAGAGCTGGAAGGAAACTTGGAGGTCACATTCTTCCACCCCCCCCCACCCCACCCACACCCCCGCCTCCCATTTTTACATGAGAGCTGGGCCCCAGGAGGAAAAGTGATTTAATCAAAATCTTGAAACTAATTAGTGGCATGCCTGGGACTAGAATTCAGGACTCCTGATTCTAAGTCCTATACACTTTCCATTACACCACCTAATTGTGTATGGAGTGGGGAGGTGGGGGGAGAGGGAGGTGTACGGATTTCCTCTGATTAACTGCCATAGTTTTCCAGGTTACTTTGTTAGGAAAACCTGTCCAGGGGAGAAAGAATTCCTTCTTGCTCTTGCCCTGAAGCATTCCTCCTACCCAGAGATTGGGAAGGGGATACTCCTTCCCTCCTGGCCAGGGATGGAATATCTTGGCCCTTTCCTCTGGTTTCCACCTGCAGCAGAGGGGGCAGAACAAGGGATAGGCCCAGGAGAGGCTCTGACAGGCCTGGGAGCCCCCCTCGGTCCTGCTTATCTCCCACACCCTGGCTGCAAAAGGCCTCCATTGAGTTGGCTCTGCACTGGGCTGCTGCCCCCGCAGGTCAAGGCCTCAGGGCCTCCTTAGGGGACAAAACGACAAAAAGTTGGAAGGAGTTACCACTTTTCCTGTCTTCCCCCTCCCCTCGTCTCCAACCCTGCGGAGGTGTAGAAGTCTCGGGAAGAAGGGCAGGGGGGAGACGTCCCTCTGGCAGTTAGGAGAAAACCAAGTCCGAGGAGAGGTCAGAGCGGGGAGAAGAAAAGGAAGCTGTCCTCTCTGTGCCTCCTCCCGCGAGGTCCGTGCTGTGGTGCGCGCCAAGGTCTCCGGCTCCCAGACTGGAGCGGCCGAGATAACCGTGGTCTCACTCCCCCGGCGCAGGCTTCCAGCCGCTGCTGCTTTTCCTCCTCTCCACTCCCACCCTGCAGGGGGCCCCCCAGATCCGCGCAAGGGCTGCTTGCGTTATTCTCAGGTGTTACTCCCACGCCTTTCTGCGCTGCCTCCGGAGCAGAGACGGAGAGATGGGGGGCTCTCAGGGCTGGCGGAGCCCTAGCTGGAACTGGGAGGGCTGGCCGCGCTGGGGGAGGGGACCCGGCGGGCCGGAGCAGGGATGGGGGGCGCGGCTTTCTGCCCTTTCCTCTCTCTGAGCTGGGGCGGCTGAAAAGCGCCTTTGTGGATGGAGCTGCTGAGTCCGCTTCTCCCGGCGCGTCCCCGGCCTCGGCCCGGGATTCTCGCTCGGTTAAGTCATCCGGGAGAATGGCCATTGTACTTCGCGCAGCCCCCGCCACCCCAACCCATTTTCCAGCAGCCTAGATCCTCCCGCACGGCTCCGCTTGGGCACCTCTGTGGGGGGCACTCGCACCACGAAAGGGTTAATGCTAGGGGCTGAAAGGAGGAGGAGGAAGGAAGGAAGGAAGCGATGCCCGGTGCCAGGGAAGGCAACGAAACAAAAGATGAATCAGGCGGAGGGAGGGCAGCCGGGGCTTGGGGCGGGGGCCAGGCCAAAACAGGGGCTCCTCTCGCGGAGCCGGGCTGCTCAACCCCTCCCTGACCAAGCTTACACCCGCTCTCTCCACTCTTGCCCTCTCCCAGGTTGAACTGAGGTCCCAGAACAACTAGGGATGAGGGGCGGAAATTAAAAGTGGGGGAAAGAACTAGGTTTGGGCGCTCCCTCTCAATCTCAGGGGTGACCCCACAGTTCGCCAACGACGTTCTGGAGAGCATAGATTAGCGACTACACCCATTCAGATTCTCACTTCCTCAGGACACTCAAAATCTGGGAGGGACTGGAGGGGTGTCGGGAAAACAAAGAAGAATTAACCCGCCCGTCCAGGTCGCTTTAGCCCCCATGCTGGTGGTAGTGGGACTGAGGAGACTGACTCCTTTATTCCCCGACAGCGTTGTAAAGAGCGGGTGAACGCGCTGGCTATTGCGGTGATGAACATGTGGCCCGGAGTGCGCCTACGGGTGACCGAGGGCTGGGACGAGGACGGCCACCACGCTCAGGACTCACTTCACTACGAAGGACGTGCCCTGGATATCACCACGTCCGACCGCGACCGCAATAAGTATGGGTTGCTGGCGCGCCTGGCAGTGGAAGCCGGCTTCGACTGGGTCTACTACGAGTCCCGCAACCACGTCCACGTGTCTGTCAAAGCCGGTACAGTACGGGGTGGGTGGTGGGGTCCCTCCGGGAAACTGAGGGTGCGCAGCCCTGTTGCGACTCTAGGGGACCCCAGGCGGGCGTTAGTGTTGAAAACCCCCCTTCCATTTCTGCCCAGGTTAGGACCAGATCCGTAGGAACTTGCATGTTGTTCCGGGACTGGTGAGGTCTGCGCTGGGCTTGACCCACGTCTTTGACAATCTGTACTAACATTCTGGAACTGGTCTCCATTCAATCCTCTCTCTGCTTGTCCCCTCCAGATAACTCACTGGCGGTCAGGGCAGGCGGCTGCTTTCCGGGAAATGCCACCGTGCGCCTGCGGAGCGGCGAGCGGAAGGGGCTGCGGGAACTGCACCGCGGTGACTGGGTGCTGGCGGCAGACGCGGCAGGCCGGGTGGTGCCCACGCCCGTACTGCTCTTCCTGGACCGGGACCTGCAGCGCCGGGCCTCTTTCGTGGCTGTGGAGACCGAGCGGCCCCCGCGCAAGCTGTTGCTCACTCCCTGGCACCTGGTGTTCGCCGCTCGAGGGCCTGCGCCCGAGCCAGGCGACTTTGCACCAGTGTTCGCGCGCCGGCTGCGCGCGGGGGACTCGGTGCTGGCGCCAGGCGGGGACGCCCTTCGGCCTGCGCGCGTGGCCCGAGTGGCGCGGGAGGAAGCCGTGGGCGTGTTCGCACCGCTCACAGCGCACGGGACGCTGCTGGTCAACGATGTCCTGGCCTCGTGCTACGCGGTTCTGGAGAGTCACCAGTGGGCGCACCGCGCCTTTGCTCCTCTGCGCCTGCTGCACGCGCTGGGGGCGCTGCTTCCGGGCGGGGCCGTCCAGCCAACTGGCATGCATTGGTACTCTCGGTTCCTCTATCGCTTGGCGGAGGAGCTGCTGGACTGAGCGCTCCAGGCATAGAAACCTCGTGGCATCCGCCTAAACGGGAGTGTGCGGGCTGAGATCTGGAGATGTGGGCAGCAGACGATGCTGATTGGGAGGGAGGGAGGGATAGGGAGAAAAATGGACGCGATGGTTTAGGGCCAACCTCTAACTGAGAGGTTGGGTCCTAAGTAGGTGGGATTGATGATGGGTAGTCATCGACGAGGACTATTTCTCCTTTTCTTCCCCAGTGCCTCAGCCCCACCCGATTATTTTATTTTATTTTCTATTTATAAATTGTAATATAATAATCTGCTTGCCCCGCCTGGCAAGATGAGGGGCTGGGGCACAGCGTTAACAGTTATCTGACATGGGAGCCAATCTGACATCTGACATTTTCCTACAAGTGGGCTAATAAAGGGAAGGCTTCCAGGAGCTTATTGGGAAATATCTCTATTCAGATGGTGATTTACTTCCAGATTGGGGGAGGAGGGTACGAAGAAAGGGAACCATACTTTACTTCCCATTCCCCTCTCCTTCCCCAGCAGGTCGTCCCACCCTGCTTCCTCCTCTCAGAGGAGGCATCCCAATCGACCAGCAGAGTCTGACCTTTGCTAGGCTGCTAGTTCTTTTTCCCACCCAGAGAGGACTAGCATTCTGCCCACATGTTTGCATACGACTGTTGGAGGGACCAGGGTTACCCAAGGAACAAGAAAACCCAAAAATGTCCTTTTTCTGTTCATAGGGGCTCCAAAGGTGGCTCAGGCCACTGTGGGTACTGATACTTAAAGAATTCTGGCCCCCAATTGTTAGCCTGCAGTCCTGGTCCCTCCCTCAAGAATCACTGTAATCCCCATCCTACTCTGGTGTAAGGGGTCTACATGGGGCTGATGTTTTTTGGGGGGATGTAACTGGACCAACTGATGACTCATGGGAATCCCTAGCTAATTCATAACTGATAGTCCCCACACACTCTTGATCAAGAGAAAGAAACTGGACAGAGGGCTAGAACCTATCCCTCCTGATGGGCTGAGCCCAGATGTATGGTGGTAGAGGGGGCATAGGCTCTCCAAGCAAGGGCACATAGGAATTAAAACCTGAGCTCCCTTCCTGATCACCTGTCCTGGTTGTTGTTTCTACTGGCTTCCTCCACCTTTCCCCTCTCACCTCTCCCATTATTTCTAGCTCTGCTTTCCTGGCCTGGGTGTTTCTGGAAGCTCTGGGTCCAACGCAGCAGACACCTGGAATCCAGGCAGGCAAGTGCCCCTGAGTTAGGAATGGAACTCAGGGGCAAGTTGGACTGCACTGGAAGTTGCAGTTGGAGGAAGTTGGACTGCACTGGAAGGAGAGTGTCAGGGCCTGGGGGATGGTAGGGGTTGGGGGTACCACCAGGAGCCCACCCTTCCCTGTAGCGGCTATGCTCTTCCTGCACAGGGTCCCTGCTATATACTGCCCTCTAGTGGCCTTCAGGATCGGTTCCCTTCCTGGCCAAAGGAAAAATGCTGCACAGAGGGTGGACTGGATTTGTGCAGAGGAGCCTTCTCCCAGGATGCAAGAGATGGTGGATGGTACTTGTTAAGCTGCCAGGGGTTAGCCACAGGTATCAGAGGCTGGCGAGGAGCCCACCTGCCTCTCATTTGGAAAGTGGCATTTTTGTATCCCTTGCACCTGCTTTAGCTCTGTGGCTCCTGGTATGGTTGTAGCCTGTAGTATTCCAGATTTCCATGTGCATCCAAGTTGCCCACTCACCTCCCTCACCCTGTGACACTTTGAGTTCAGTGTCTGGAGGTGTCTGGAGGTGAAAGCATACTTAGGGTTCCAGGTAGTGCTTGATAAAGCTGACATTTGGAAGCAGGCTAAGTTTACCTTTAGTATCTTTCCACCTGCCATTTCCCTCAATCCACACCAGGTGCCCATTACCACCACCCTCCCCCTTTCAGAGGGATTTCAGAAACACGGTCCAAGCTGTGGACCTTTCCTTCCTACTTTCTAAACCTGCTCTTGTCTCATTCTATCAGATCCTGATGCCCTACTGTCATGTCACTCCAGGTGATGACTAATCTGATAAACTAATTAGTATTTCTATATTGATAGGCCTGTTTTCACTATTCTTTTCATGTAATGCATATATCTTTTTGTTTTTTTTGTTTTTGTTTTTTTCTTTTTCTTTTTTTGCGGTACGCGGGCCTCTCACTGCTGTGGCCTCTCCCGTTGCGGAGCACAGGCTCCGGACGCGCAGGCTCAGCGGCCATGGCTCACGGGCCCAGCCGCTCCGCGGCATATGGGATCTTCCCGGACCGGGGCACGAACCCGTGTCCCCTGCATCGGCAGGCGGACTCTCAACCACTGCGCCACCAGGGAAGCCCTCATGTAATGCAAATATCTTAAAGGTCTGCTGAAAATAAGGCCTTAAACCATAAGACCATAATGGTGCTGATTCCTAGCACCTTAATATGTTAGGCAGGAGATATCTGGGGACAAGGGGAACTAATTGTTTTCCCTCAAACTACATCCTGTAGATTACTCCCCAGGCCTGAGGCTCACCTGTCACCCCCAACTTCCATCCCTCCTTATTCTTGTCCCCTTGATGCCCTCCCAGCTTCCTAAAATAAAGTCCATTCCCTTCCCTCAAGCAGCAAAGAGTACCATCTCTATGAAGATGGCCAGGAAGGCATATTTACTTGGCCACACAACATCTCCAAATGCAGCACCCCTTCTCATTAACAGAATTGGCAAG